CTCTTTTTTTTTTCTTTTTGTGTTCTTGTCCCACAACTTAGACCCGGGCCTTCATTTTCGACGCACTCATGTCCCCGAATGATTTTCATTAACGAGATGATGACAGAGGAGTGTCGGGATGCGTAGTGTTTCCTAGGGTTTGTTGCTTTCTGTAGGCTTCCTAACTTAGAGGTCAAATGGTGGTTTTTAGGGAGACGTTTCGTGCTTGGTTCGTAACCTCTACCCCATCTAGACTTTAGGAGACAAAATCATCCCACGTGATATTCATTCGCTCTAGGATTGGGTCAGCTATTTCTACCTTGCTCGACAATCCATTCAACTCTTTAGATCGATCTAAACTTAGCTCCTAAAACCTTTCCAAGCCAATCCTTACTCTATGTTCCCCCCACATCATTATCCGGCCAAATCTTTGAGGGAAAAATCTTATGCAAGTGTATGCATGCATTACTTGAGGATGGAATGCATGATTCTAAGTGCAATTGATGCATGATGTGTAGGATTCATGGGTACGATGTGCGTTAGTGCATCCCCCCCAGACTTGAATCAAACACCGTCCACGGTGTTGAATCTTGTCTAGTGGAGAGATTCCAAGGGAGAAATAAGGAATGGAATGAAGGGGGTGAGTGTGTTACCTTTTCCGATGAAGTGGAGTTGTATTCCAATTTCTCTTTTGTGGATGTCGTAATCCCATGAAACCTATGCAATGTGATGACATGTAAATATTGTCATATTTTCACATTGGATGTCTAGCACATTTCACGATATTTTGCATATTTATAGATATCCCTTGTACATTTTATTCCGACTTCGATGTTTTTGATATTTTGCAGGAAAATTGAAGCTTTGGACGAAAATGAGGCAATTTCCAAGAAAAAAGACATGACCCGGAACCAACCCGAACATATTCTGAGTACCAAAGAGTCAAAGAGGAAATGCTTGCCCGATGTTGATATTACGAGTCCCATAACTTTTGCAATACAGATCCATATCATGCGTACTATACAGCATTGGAAAGCCTTTTTCAATAGCTACGCACGGACACAAAGATCACTCCAATCAGATATTGCATTAGAAAGTTATGGTGAAAATACTATGAGCATATGTTCTGACGACGAACTGTGCACGAGTGTGCTATTACGAGCTACATAACTTTCTCCATACAGGTCCAAATGATGTATGCGATACATCATTGGAAAGATATTTTCAATAGCTACACGTGGATAGCAAGAGCACTTCAATCCGATATCGGAGCCGAAAGTTATGAGGAAAACATTATGACTATGTCATTTGGTGGCGACAAGAAAACAGCTTTTCCTCAAAACACGGAGCTCGTGAATTATGGAGGTAAATGAGGAGGAAAATGGGGAAATGTCTTGCTTCTTTTCTTGGCTATAAAAGGGGCACGAAGGGGAGGCTTAGAGGATGATCCAACACATTAGAGAGTGAGTTTGAAGAGTGAATTGAGAGCTTCTTGAGAGAGATCCAAGGAGGAGTCAAGAGAAGAAGAAGAAGAGGAGGAGGAAGAAGAAGAGTCCTGCAACTATCACTAAGCATTCTATTCCCTCTCTTTTAATTCTTGTCATGAACTTCTATTTGGATGTTGTTTGTATGTTTCCCATGATGTGTGAGTAGATTTATCATTGTAGGTTAGGGATTAAGGTTGTGTAAGGATCATGTGAACATAACCTATCTTTGAAACTATGGGTTTTATAATTTGGTTTGAATGAATGAATCTTAATGCTATGAATCTTGTTGGCCACTTGATTTGTTGAACCTAGAATTTAGTTTGCATAGAGATATGGAACTAAGTTTGGAACTCTTTCATTTGAATAGATGAACATTGCATTGAGAAATGAATGAACATCTAGGAATCATGATGGTGGATTTAATGCTCTTAAGAGTTTCAATCTATTTAGAATCGAGAGATCGGTAGTTGAACTTTTAGGAAGTGAGGTGAGACTCGAGAGAGTAATCCTCTATAGCAAGAACTTGAATTTCCCGAATCATAACTCTAGTTACGAAGATATATCCGTAGAAGCGATCCTTACATAACCCGTAATTTCCGACACCTACGATGTTTTATAGAATTGTGCTAAGTCTTTGCTTGTATTTGCTTTAATTCGTGTTTACTTTCAGTTATAATCATCACCATCATCATTATCGTCTCCGACCGAAACCGAGTAATAATCGTAATTGTTGTCGTTAAACCACACGTGTCCTTGTGTTCGACCCTAGGTACTACAATTGATCCGTACACTTGCGGTGATTGTATTTAGGAATTAAAACAAGATTAGATCACATCCTAGATCGACATCAAGTTTTTGGCGCCGTTGCCGGGGACACAACGGTTTTAGCGATACGATTAGGAAACTACTTAGTTTGGGTCATTTTTTTTTCTTTGGTTTGATTTGGTTCTCATCTTTTTCCCGTTGTCGCTCTCTTTGATTTGAAGATTCTTTGGTGTATGACAAGGAGTTCTGGGTCGCAAAACCTAGTTCCCTTGGATCCCGAAATAGAGAGAACCATAAGACAAAACTTGAGACAACACCGAGAAGAGATGGGAGATCACGACGTTGTACCCGCACCGGGAAATGCGCACATAAATGAAGAAACCTTCGCGCAATACAACGCCCCACGACATACTGAGCTCTTATCCGGCATTCGGATGCCGGAGGTGGACATGACGAGATTTGAGCTCACCCCCGCCACAATCCAAATGTTGAGCGCCATGGCCTTCCGGGGTAGGCCAAATGAGGATCCTAACGCACATCTCACTCGTTTCAAGATGATGTGTCGTTCCATTAAAAGAGCTGATCAAATAACCGAGGACGCAATCCGCTTAATCGCCTTTCCATGGACGTTGATAGACGCTGCACTCGATTGGCTCTATGAACTCGAACCAGATTCTATTCATACGTGGAATCAATTGGAGAGCCAGTTCATGCAACGTTTCTTCTCCCCGCACCGAACTCAAGCAGCCTTGAACAACATCCACTCGTTCAAGCAAGACGATGGAGAGACTCTACAT